ATTCTTTAAAAATCCACGCCTCTTGGTCCAATGATGCTTGTAAAAATATTCTTTAAAAATCCACGCCTCTTGGTCCAATGATGCTTGTAAAAATATTCTTTAAAAATCCACGCCTCTTGGTCCAATGATGCTTGTAAAAATATTCTTTAAAAATCCACGCCTCTTGGTCCAATGATGCTTGTAAAAATATTCTTTAAAAATCCACGCCTCTTGGTCCAATGATGCTTGTAAAAATATTCTTTAAAAATCCACGCCTCTTGGTCCAATGATGCTTGTAAAAATATTCTTTAAAAATCCACGCCTCTTGGTCCAATGATGCTTGTAAAAATATTCTTTAAAAATCCACGCCTCTTGGTCCAATGATGCTTGTAAAAATATTCTTTAAAAATCCACGCCTCTTGGTCCAATGATGCTTGTAAAAATATTCTTTAAAAATCCACGCCTCTTGGTCCAATGATGCTTGTAAAAATATTCTTTAAAAATCCACGCCTCTTGGTCCAATGATGCTTGTAAAAATATTCTTTAAAAATCCACGCCTCTTGGTCCAATGATGCTTGTAAAAATATTCTTTAAAAATCCACGCCTCTTGGTCCAATGATGCTTGTAAAAATATTCTTTAAAAATCCACGCCTCTTGGTCCAATGATGCTTGTAAAAATATTCTTTAAAAATCCACGCCTCTTGGTCCAATGATGCTTGTAAAAATATTCTTTAAAAATCCACGCCTCTTGGTCCAATGATGCTTGTAAAAATATTCTTTAAAAATCCACGCCTCTTGGTCCAATGATGCTTGTAAAAATATTCTTTAAAAATCCACGCCTCTTGGTCCAATGATGCTTGTAAAAATATTCTTTAAAAATCCACGCCTCTTGGTCCAATGATGCTTGTAAAAATATTCTTTAAAAATCCACGCCTCTTGGTCCAATGATGCTTGTAAAAATATTCTTTAAAAATCCACGCCTCTTGGTCCAATGATGCTTGTAAAAATATTCTTTAAAAATCCACGCCTCTTGGTCCAATGATGCTTGTAAAAATATTCTTTAAAAATCCACGCCTCTTGGTCCAATGATGCTTGTAAAAATATTCTTTAAAAATCCACGCCTCTTGGTCCAATGATGCTTGTAAAAATATTCTTTAAAAATCCACGCCTCTTGGTCCAATGATGCTTGTAAAAATATTCTTTAAAAATCCACGCCTCTTGGTCCAATGATGCTTGTAAAAATATTCTTTAAAAATCCACGCCTCTTGGTCCAATGATGCTTGTAAAAATATTCTTTAAAAATCCACGCCTCTTGGTCCAATGATGCTTGTAAAAATATTCTTTAAAAATCCACGCCTCTTGGCCCAATGATGCTTGTAAAAATATTCTTTAAAAATCCACGCCTCTTGGTCCAATGATGCTTGGAAAAATATTCTTTAAAAATCCACGCCTTATGATCTCTAAATCCTTGTAAAAAAAATTCTTTAAAAATCCACGCCTTATGATCTGTAAATCCTTGTAAAAAAAATTCTTTAAAAATCCACGCCTTATGATCTGTAAATCCTTGTAAAAAAAATTCTTTAAAAATCCACGCCTTATGATCTGTAAATCCTTGTAAAAAAAATTCTTTAAAAATCCACGCCTTATGATCTGTAAATCCTTGTAAAAAAAATTCTTTAAAAATCCACGCCTTATGATCTGTAAATCCTTGTAAAAAAATTCTTTAAAAATCCACGCCTTATGATCTGTAAATCCTTGTAAAAATATTCTTTAAAAATCCACTCCTTGTGGTCTGTGGATCCATGTAAAAATATTCTTTAAAAATCCACGCCTTGTGGTCTGTGGATCCTTGTAAAAATATTCTTTAAAAATGCACGCCTTGTGGTCTGTGGATCCTTGTAAAAAAATTCTTTAAAAATCAATGCCTTATGATCTGTGGATCCTTGTAAAAATATTCTTTAAAAATCCACTTCTTGTGGTCTGTGGATCCTTGTAAACATATTCTTTAAAAATCCACGCCTTGTGGTCTGCGGATCATTGTAAAAATATTCTTTAAAAATCCACTCCTTGTGGTCTGTGGATCCTTGTAAACATATTCTTTAAAAATCCACGCCTTGTGGTCAGTGGATCCTTGTGAAAAAATTCTTTAAAAATCCACGACATATGGTCTGTGGATCCTTGTAAAAAAATCTTTAAAAATCCACGCCTTCTGGTCTGTGGATCCTTGTAAAAAAATTCTTTAAAAAATCCACGCGTTATGATCTGTGGATCATTGTAAAAATATTCTTTAAAAATCTACTCCTTGTGGTCTGTGGATCCTTGTAAAAATATTCTTTAAATATCCACGCTTTGTGGTCTGCGGATCCTTGTAAAAATATTGTTTAAAATTCCACGCCTTGTGGTCTGTGGATCCTTGTGAAAAAATTCTTTAAAAATCCACGACTTATGGTCTGCGGATCCTTGTAAAAATATTCTTTAAAATTCCACGCCTTCTGGTCTGTGGATCCTTGTAAAAAAATTCTTTAAAAATCCGCGCCTTATGGTCTGTGGATCCTTGTAAAAATATTCTTTAAAAATCCACGACTTATGGTCTGTGGATCCTTGTAAAAATATTCTTTAAAAATCCACGACTTATGGTCTGTGGATCCTTGTAAAAAAATTCTTTAAAAATCCAGGCCTTATGATCTGTGGATCCTTGTAAAAATATTCTTTAAAAATCCACGCCTTGTGGTCTGCGGATCATTGTAAAAATATTCTTTAAAATTCCACGTCTTGTGGTCTGTGGATCCTTGTGAAAAAATTCTTTAAAAATCCACGACTTATGGTCTGTGGATCCTTGTAAAAAAATTCTTTAAAAATCCACGCCTTATGATCTGTGGATCCTTGTAAAAATATTCTTTAAAAATCCACTCCTTGTGGTCTGTGGATCCTTGTAAAAAAATTATTTAAAAATCCACGCCTTATGGTCTGTGGATCCTTGTAAAAAAAATCTTTAAAAATCCACGCCTTCTGGTCTGTGGATCCTTGTAAAAAAATCCACGACTTATGGTCTGTGGATCCTTGTAAAAATATTCTTTAAAAATCCACGACTTATGGTCTGTGGATCCTTGTAAAAATATTCTTTAAAAATCCACGACTTATGGTCTGTGGATCCTTGTAAAAAAATTCTTTAAAAATCCAGGCCTTATGATCTGTGGATCCTTGTAAAAATATTCTTTAAAAATCCACGCCTTGTGGTCTGCGGATCATTGTAAAAATATTCTTTAAAATTCCACGTCTTGTGGTCTGTGGATCCTTGTGAAAAAATTCTTTAAAAATCCACGACTTATGGTCTGTGGATCCTTGTAAAAAAATTCTTTAAAAATCCACGCCTTATGATCTGTGGATCCTTGTAGAAATATTCTTTAAAAATCCACTCCTTGTGGTCTGTGGATCCTTGTAAAAAAATTCTTTAAAAATCCACGCATTATGATCTGTAAATCCTTGTAAAAATATTCTTTAAAAATCCACTCCTTGTGGTCTGTGGTTCCTTGTAAAAATATTCTTTAAAAATCCACGCCTTGTGGTCTGTGGTTCCTTGTAAAAATATTCTTTAAAAATGCACGCCTTGTGGTCTGTGGATCCTTGTAAAAAAAATTCTTTAAAAATCCACGCCTTATGGTCTGTGGATCCTTGTAAAAAAAAATCTTTAAAAATCCACGCCTTCTGGTCTGTGGATCCTTGTAAAAAAATTCTTTAAAAATCCACGCCTTTTGGTCTGTGGATCCTTTGTAAAAATATTCTTTAAAAATCCACGTCTTTTGGTCTGTGGATCCTTGTAAAAATATTCTTTAAAAATCCACGCCTTGTGGTCTGTGGATCCTTGTAAAAATATTCTTTAAAAATGCACGCCTTGTGGTCTGTGGATCCTTGTAAAAAAATTCTTTAAAAATCCACTCCTTGTGGTCTGTGGATCCTTGTAAACATATTCTTTAAAAATCCACGCCTTGTGGTCTGTGGATCCTTGTAAAAATATTCTTTAAAAATCCACGCCTTGTGGTCTGTGGATCCTTGTAAAAATATTCTTTAAAAATGCACGCCTTGTGGTCTGTGGATCCTTGTAAAAAAATTCTTTAAAAATCCACTCCTTGTGGTCTGTGGATCCTTGTAAACATATTCTTTAAAAATCCACGCCTTGTGGTCTGTGGATCCTTGTAAAAAAATTCTTTAAAAATCCACTCCTTGTGGTCTGTGGATCCTTGTAAACATATTCTTTAAAAATCCACGCCTTGTGGTCTGTGGATCCTTGTAAAAATATTCTTTAAAAATCCACGCCTTGTGGTCTGTGGATCCTTGTAACAATATTCTTTAAAAATGCACGCCTTGTGGTCTGTGGATCCTTGTAAAAAAATTCTTTAAAAATCCACTCCTTGTGGTCTGTGGATCCTTGTAAACATATTCTTTAAAAATCCACGCCTTGTGGTCTGCGGATCATTGTAAAAATATTCTTTAAAATTTCACGTCTTGTGGTCTGTGGATCCTTGTGAAAAAATTCTTTAAAAATCCACGACTTGTGGTCTGTGGATCCTTGTAAAAAAAACTTTAAAAATCCACGCCTTCTGGTCTGTGGATCCTTGTAAAAAAAATTCTTTAAAAAATCCACGCGTTATGATCTGTGGATCCTTGTAAAAATATTCTTTAAAAATCCACTCCTTGTGGTCTGTGGATCCTTGTAAAAATATTCTTTAAATATCCACGCCTTGTGGTCTGCGGATCCTTGTAAAAATATTGTTTAAAATTCCACGCCTTGTGGTCTGTGGATCCTTGTGAAAAAATTCTTTAAAAATCCACGACTTGTGGTCTGTGGATCCTTGTAAAAATATTCTTTAAAAATCCACGCATTATAGTCTGTGGATCCTTGTAAAAATGTTCTGTAAAAATCCCCGACATTTGTTCTGTGGATCCTTGTAAAAATATTATCTAAAAATTCATGTTGTTGATATTTTAGACCTTTAATTTATTATTTGTATTTTTTGTTCTAGGTTCGCCGATGAAAGCTCTTCCCCAACATTACGTTCACCGAAATTTGCACCCAGCCCACCGAATATCTACTACAAAGGCTGGTGGACATATCCATATTTTTCGTGCTCTCTCAGCAAATGGATTTTGTCGTATAGCATTGCCATACCACCGAACGGCAGGCATGGTCTGCGAGGTTTCGTTAGCATCGACATCGATGTCACCGGTTTGCGTGTCAATCAATGCGAAGCACCGGTGGCCTATCGATTCAATTATCAACAGATACAGACACGGCGTCTTCATCTGGTCGACACGAGCGCCCAGTCAACAGAATTTATAAATGATATTCAAGCGTTTCATAAGTCGCATAAATGTCATCGTGACACAATGGTGGTAAGTGATGAGCAGACGTGGACAGAAACGGAAAGCGACAGTGAGGTTTCGGGTGCTAAAATTTTCTGCTACATTAACAGTTTTTCATAGAAGAAGGAGAAATAGGAGGATAGTGGAAAGAGTGGTTGGAATTTTGTGATTTTTGGTAGATAGGAAAAGTTTGCACAGACACATAACAAAACGTGGATCGAAATATGTATATATTTTTCAATACCAAACTTCCTGCAAGTAGTAACAAAAAAACATATGCAACATTTCACAACTCTGTATTAAATATTGAAACCTATTCGGACAGAGGGGCAAGGCGAAATCGAAAAAGAATTTTATTCTGATAATCTTGTGGAAGCAGAAATATATATATGGGCAATATTGCCAATTTTTTAATATTCCATTTTCAAAAAATCACCTTTTTTGTTTTTGTGGCACATCAATGATTTTTGGTACACATATAGAGAAAAATGTTCTGACTCCGAAACCGTTCGCGATCAAATTTTTGGTTGATGCGCGCAAAAGTTATCGAGGTTTTAATTTTGGGCATAACAAAAAAATCTTAAAATTACACCGTTTATTATATTGACGAAAAAAGTTGATATATATCTTCCTCCGTAAAATAAGAATATGAATATATTATAATAATCACGATAAAGTTGCACATATTCGCGAAATATGAGAAAAATAAAAATAATATATCAGATTACATCAATATTTTCATTATATTAATGACATACACACGCCTACAAATTAATTTAAAAATATCTACATAATCTAAACACCATGATGAATCAAATGATATTAAAATCACACAAGTCCGTGTAGCGGTTTCTAAATCACAGCGACAACAAAACAAGATATTAAGGGAAAATATTTGTTTTTGGTTCGAAAAAATAATGTCATCATATTTGTTTTTTTAGTTGTATACAAGAAATTTCAGAAAAAAATTTTGGGGTTATTCTGATATTTTACCCGAATTTCGCCGAAAAATTGACATATATAATAATAATCATTTTTTGTGTATAAGTATACGCCTTGCGGATTATATCAAGACCATTCCGATAAATCTTGGAATTCTATAAATAGGAATAAATCTTAAATAAAATAATATTATGAAATATACATTTTAAATTGCGTGTAAATCGCGTAATTCTCAAAATCATTTGATGCGCATGCGGTTTCCAGGATGTACTGAAGTTTATCTTCCAATCCATATATATTTTGCGAAATTTCATTTGACGGCTAAGATGTGCCGCACGTTACATTGAAGTACCCAAAAAATCGTAAAACGGGAATAATTTCCGAAAACTCCATATGCCATTAACGCGCATCCGATTTTGGTGTGCACCCTAAAAAAATAGATCGATCTATACCGTATTGCCCATATATTTTTTTAAATTTCCTAATATAAACCTTGACTTTTCTAATCACATTTTCTATTCTCTTTTCTTCCCTTCTCTCACCATCGAATTTTTCCAACTATTTTGGCAAATAAAAAAAACTCTAAAATAAACCCAACAACAACTACAATAAAAAAGTGTGATTATCGTTTACCCACCTCGGAATCACCGACAATAACAACAAGTAAAATACTGGCAACACCCAACACTTGGTCACGTGGTGCCTATCAATGCCTGTGCAAGCGCGGCTACTATTCGATACGACATCCAGATGGCTTTAATGGCACCATAATGGAAATTGCTTGGAAAGAACATCAGGATAATATTAGCAATTACTATGCCGAAGTGTTCACTTGTCTGAAGTGTGCACCGGGCTGTGAATCGTGTACAGGACCCGAACCATGTTTGGCCGATTACAATTGGCCTTTTAGGTGAGTACGTGAACGTGATGGCATGCAACATCTTCGAACTTACCTTGCGGTGTGTAAGATGTTGTCGATGAAGAAGAAGGAGAGGTGGGGGTGGTGCGATAATAAAAATCTACTTTAACGGTTATTTTTTCAAAATTTCTTTTATCTAATTTTTTTTGTAGAATATCATTACTAACCATTTCGGTGGCATGTGCAATTGGTTGCTGCATTTTGGCCGGATATCTGTTTCATCACAGGAAGATGAAGGTCTTCAAAGTGGCCAGTCCGATATTTTTGCTAATCACCCTGATTGGATGTTCCATTATGTATTTAGAGGTAAGTTTTGGGAATTAAAATGACTAAAAAGTGGTAAAAACTTACACACCTTTTGGTCGATGGATTCTTGTAAAAATATTCTTTAAAATTCCACGCCTTTTGGTCGATGGATTCTTGTAAAAATATTCTTTAAAATTCCACGCCTTTTGGTCGATGGATTCTTGTAAAAATATTCTTTAAAATTCCACGCCTTTTGGTCGATGGGTTCTTGTAAAAATATTCTTTAAAATTCCAAGCCTTTTGGTCGATGGATCCTTTGTAAAAATATTCTTTAAAAATCCACGCCTTTTGGTCTGTGGATCCTTTGTAAAAATATTCTTTAAAAACCCACGCCTTTTGGTCTGTGGATCCTTTGTAAAAATATTCTTTAAAAACCCACGCCTTTTGGTCTGTGGATCCTTTGTAAAAATATTCTTTAAAAATCCACGCCTTTTGATCTGTGGATCCTTTATAAAAATATTCTTTAAAAATCCACGCCTTTTGGTCTGTGGATCCTTTGTAGAAATATTCTTTAAGAATCCACGCCTTTTGGTCCAAGGATCCTTGTAAAAATATTCTTTAAAAATCCACGCCTTTTTGTCCAAGGATCCTTTTGGTCGATGGATTCTTGTAAAAATATTCTTTAAAAATCCACGCCTTTTAGTCCAAGGATCCTTTTGATCGATGGATTCTTGTAAAAATATTCTTTAAAAATCCACGCCTTTTTGTCCAAGGATCCTTTTGGTCGATGGATTCTTGTAAAAATATTCTTTAAAAATCCACGCCTTTTTGTCCAAGGATCCTTTTGGTCTGTGGATCCTTTGTAAAAATATTCTTTAAAAATCCACGCCTTTTGGTCTGTGGATCCTTTGTAAAAATATTCTTTAAAAATCCACGCCTTTTGGTCTGTGGATCCTTTGTAAAAATATTCTTTAAAAATCCACGCCTTTTGGTCTGTGGATCCTTTGTAAAAATATTCTTTAAAAATCCACGCCTTTTGGTCTGTGGATCCTTTGTAAAAATATTCTTTAAAAATCCACGCCTTTTGGTCTGTGGATCCTTTGTAAAAATATTCTTTAAAAATCCACGCCTTTTGGTCTGTGGATCCTTTGTAAAAATATTCTTTAAAAATCCACGCCTTTTGGTCTGTGGATCCTTTGTAAAAATATTCTTTAAAAATCCACGCCTTTTGGTCTGTGGATCCTTTGTAAAAATATTCTTTAAAAATCCACGCCTTTTGGTCTGTGGATCCTTTGTAAAAATATTCTTTAAAAATCTACGTGTTTTGGTCTGTGGATCCTTGTAAAAATATTCTTAAAAATCCACGCCTTTTGGTCTGTGGATCCTTTGTAAAAATATTCTTTAAAAATCCACGCCTTGTGGTCTGTGGATCCTTTGTAAAAATATTCTTTGAAAGTCCACGCCTTGTTCTCCTTGATCCTTGTTAAACTATTCTTTAAAATCCACGCCTTGTGGTCTGTGGATCCTTGTAAAAATATTCTTTAAATATCCACGCCTTGTGGTCTGTGGATCCTTGTAAAAATATTCTTTAAAAATCCACGCCTTTTGGTCTGTGGATCCTTTGTAAAAATATTCTTTAAAAATCCACGCCTTTTGGTCTGTGGATCCATGTAAAAATAGTTTTTTTAACGCATACCTATTGTTCTTTTGGGCCTTGATAAAATGGGTTGGGGTCCCTATAGGACTTTACGAATTTTTTGACTTTCCGTCGTCATAGATTAAGAATGCATTAATTACTTTTGTACCACCTGACAAAAAATTAGCTTTAATGACAACAACTTTTATTTTATTACTACGCTTCCCTCAAAAGAGTATCGGATACTACAAGCACCACCAACAACAAAGCGATTTGTTTGTCCAACACTTCATTTCGAACACGCAATTTGAAAATAACAATTATTGACATGTGGTAGAGCAACTATTGGAGTACTACCTTCATGGATTCACCGTCCAACCGAGCGACAACTGATTGGACTAATCAAACAAATGAGGCACATGGGCCAACCAGCCAACCGACCAGACCAGCGCCATGTAACCAAAACCCTTATTACAGAATTTGAATAATGACCTCGAACAAATTCGGTGTCCCTAAATGGTTATTTAACGCTTCATAGACTTCGTGGGCCATTAAACGCATGTGTGTATGTGTGTGTGTGAGAGTGACATCATTATATGCCAGTAAATTTCATTCACTGTTCCATTCATTGTTCAATAATGTATTCATAAGGGATCGACGCACACACAGTCTATTCCGAGTGGCTATCATGATGTATATATTACGAGTATTGGTTGAAATTGATGTCAATAAGTGGAATTTAAATATATTAGTCCTATTACTCTATTAGTCCTTGTAAAAATATTCTTTAAAAATCCACGCCTATTACTCTATTTTACAAGGATCCATCGACCACAAGGCGTGGATTTTTAAAGAATATTTTTAAAAGGATCTTTGAACCAAACGACGTGGATTTTTAAAGAATATTTTTAAAAGGATCCTTGGACCAAAAGGCGTGGATTTTCGAAGAATATTTTTACAAGGATCCTTGGACAAAAAGGCGTGGATTTTTAAAGAATATTTTTACAAGGATCCACAGACCAAAAGGCGTGGATTTTTAAAGAATATTTCTACAAAGGATCCACAGACCAAAAGGCGTGGATTTTTAAAGAATATTTTTACAAAGGATCCACAGACCAAAAGGCGTGGATTTTTAAAGAATATTTTTACAAAGGATCCACAGACCAAAAGGCGTGGATTTTTAAAGAATATTTTTACAAAGGATCCACAGACCAAAAGGCGTGGATTTTTAAAGAATATTTTTACAAAGGATCCACAGACCAAAAGGCGTGGATTTTTAAAGAATATTTTTACAAAGGATCCACAGACCAAAAGGCGTGGATTTTTAAAGAATATTTTTACAAAGGATCCACAGACCAAAAGGCGTGGATTTTTAAAGAATATTTTTACAAAGGATCCACAGACCAAAAGGCGTGGATTTTTAAAGAATATTTTTACAAAGGATCCACAGACCAAAAGGCGTGGATTTTTAAAGAATATTTTTACAAAGGATCCACAGACCAAAAGGCGTGGATTTTTAAAGAATATTTTTACAAAGGATCCACAGACCAAAAGGCGTGGATTTTTAAAGAATATTTTTACAAAGGATCCACAGACCAAAAGGCGTGGATTTTTAAAGAATATTTTTACAAAGGATCCACAGACCAAAAGGCGTGGATTTTTAAAGAATATTTTTACAAAGGATCCACAGACCAAAAGGCGTGGATTTTTAAAGAATATTTTTACAAAGGATCCACAGACCAAAAGGCGTGGATTTTTAAAGAATATTTTTACAAAGGATCCACAGACCAAAAGGCGTGGATTTTTAAAGAATATTTTTACAAAGGATCCACAGACCAAAAGGCGTGGATTTTTAAAGAATATTTTTACAAAGGATCCACAGACCAAAAGGCGTGGATTTTTAAAGAATATTTTTACAAAGGATCCACAGACCAAAAGGCGTGGATTTTTAAAGAATATTTTTACAAAGGATCCACAGACCAAAAGGCGTGGATTTTTAAAGAATATTTTTACAAAGGATCCACAGACCAAAAGGCGTGGATTTTTAAAGAATATTTTTACAAAGGATCCACAGACCAAAAGGCGTGGATTTTTAAAGAATATTTTTACAAAGGATCCACAGACCAAAAGGCGTGGATTTTTAAAGAATATTTTTACAAAGGATCCACAGACCAAAAGGCGTGGATTTTTAAAGAATATTTTTACAAAGGATCCACAGACCAAAAGGCGTGGATTTTTAAAGAATATTTTTTTCGAAGGACCTCTAGACCAAAAGGCGTGGATTTTTAAAGAATATTTTTTCGAAGGACCTATAGACCAAAAGGCGTGGATTTTTAAAGAATATTTTTACAAAGGATCCACAGACCAAAAGGCGTGGATTTTTAAAGAATATTTTTACAAAGGATCCACAGACCAAAAGGCGTGGATTTTTAAAGAATATTTTTACAAAGGATCCACAGACCAAAAGGCGTGGATTTTTAAAGAATATTTTTACAAAGGATCCACAGACCAAAAGGCGTGGATTTTTAAAGAATATTTTTACAAAGGATCCACAGACCAAAAGGCGTGGATTTTTAAAGAATATTTTTACAAAGGATCCACAGACCAAAAGGCGTGGATTTTTAAAGAATATTTTTACAAAGGATCCACAGACCAAAAGGCGTGGATTTTTAAAGAATATTTTTACAAAGGATCCACAGACCAAAAGGCGTGGATTTTTAAAGAATATTTTTACAAAGGATCCACAGACCAAAAGGCGTGGATTTTTAAAGAATATTTTTACAAAGGATCCACAGACCAAAAGGCGTGGATTTTTAAAGAATATTTTTACAAAGGATCCACAGACCAAAAGGCGTGGATTTTTAAAGAATATTTTTACAAAGGATCCACAGACCAAAAGGCGTGGATTTTTAAAGAATATTTTTCCAAAGGATCCACAGACCAAAAGGCGTGGATTTTTAAAGAATATTTTTACAAAGGATCCACAGACCAAAAGGCGTGGATTTTTAAAGAATATTTTTACAAAGGATCCACAGACCAAAAGGCGTGGATTTTTAAAGAATATTTTTACAAAGGATCCACAGACCAAAAGGCGTGGATTTTTAAAGAATATTTTTACAAAGGATCCACAGACCAAAAGGCGTGGATTTTTAAAGAATATTTTTACAAAGGATCCACAGACCAAAAGGCGTGGATTTTTAAAGAATATTTTTACAAAGGATCCACAGACCAAAAGGCGTGGATTTTTAAAGAATATTTTTACAAAGGATCCACAGACCAAAAGGCGTGGATTTTTAAAGAATATTTTTACAAAGGATCCACAGACCAAAAGGCGTGGATTTTTAAAGAATATTTTTACAAAGGATCCACAGACCAAAAGGCGTGGATTTTTAAAGAATATTTTTACAAAGGATCCACAGACCAAAAGGCGTGGATTTTTAAAGAATATTTTTACAAAGGATCCACAGACCAAAAGGCGTGGATTTTTAAAGAATATTTTTACAAAGGATCCACAGACCAAAAGGCGTGGATTTTTAAAGAATATTTTTACAGGGATCCACAGACCAAAAGGCGTGGATTTTTAAAGAATATTTTTACAGGGATCCAGGGATCCACAGACCAAAAGGCGTGGATTTTTAAAGAATATTTTTACAGGGATCCACAGACCAAAAGGCGTGGATTTTTAAAGAATATTTTTACAGGGATCCACAGACCAAAAGGCGTGGATTTTTAAAGAATATTTTTACAGGGATCCACAGACCAAAAGGCGTGGATTTTTAAAGAATATTTTTACAGGGATCCACAGACCAAAAGGCGTGGATTTTTAAGAATATTAAAAATTTTAAATTCTTTTTCTTTTTTCAGATGGTTGCCATATTTCCCTATTTAGACACAACATGGTGTGTTGCAACCAAATGGACCCGACACATGGGCTTTTGTATAACCTATACATCATTGCTGATGAAGACTTGGAGGTACATTTCAAACTTCCCTAAACAACAAAAATTAAGTGAAATATATTAACCTGCACCTACCTTTCAGGGTCTCCTTAACGTATCGCGTCAAATCGGCCCACAAAGTTAAACTTACCGATCAACAATTGCTACAGTGGATGGTACCCATTCTATTGGTAATGCTTATCTATTTGGGTACATGGACTATAAGTGATACTCCCTATGCCGTTTATGTAAGTAATTTGCCACTTTCCCCCTCTCTTTGTTCTCTATGTCACTATTTTATTTAAATTTCTCTTAACCCACATTTTCCCTTTTTTTTCTTCTTTGTTTCCATTTTTTTTTTTTTTTTTTGCTTTCTTCGTTGCTCCAGATTAATGACCAACATGGTCTCAAATTCAAGCAATGCTCATATAATTGGTGGGATCATAGCTTGGCTATTGGTGAAGTTCTGTTCTTAGCCTGGGGCATACGTGTCTGTTATAATGTCCGCAATGCGGAATCATTGTACAATGAGGCTCGACTCATTTCGTATGCCATTTATAATATTGCCATTGTTAACTTGTCAATGGTGGCACTACAGTAAGTATTCACACTTATGCTGAAGTTTGAAGAGTGTGTGTTTGTGTGAGTGTGCGACGTCTTTTTATGAGAGTTGGAAACTTTTATTCAAATAGCCTGGAATTGGGTTAGTAACATTATTAGCGTTATGTTATTCATAAAATAGGGATATCCAATAGAATTTATTACCACGGAAAAAAGGGTAGATTGAAGCAATGCGGTGTGACATAGATATGACAATTGAATGGAAACTTAACTTAAATTGTGTCAATTAAGAGGCACATAATTTTCTTCAAGAACTATTATTATTTTTAAAACAATTCTAATAGGAGAGGTGTAGATTTTTACAATTATTTATATAGAAGTCTATTAGAGGCGTAAATTTTTAAAATAATATTTATACAAGTCTATCAGAGCGTAGATTTTTAAAACAATTTTTTTCGAGGACTATCAAAGGAGTAGATTTTTAAAATAATTTTTTTCGAGGACTACAAGAGGCGTAGATTTTTAAAATAAATTTTTTCGAGGACTACAAGAGGCGTAGATTTTTAAAATAAATTTTTTCGAGGACTACAAGAATCGTAGATTTTTAAAATAAATTTTTTCGAGGACTACAAGAGGCGTAGATTTTTAAAATAAATTTTTTCGAGGACTACAAGAGGCGTAGATTTTTAAAATAAATTTTTTCGAGGACTACAAGAAGCGTAGATTTTTAAAATAATTTTTTTCGAGGACTACAAGAGGCGTAGATTTTTAAAATAAATTTTTTCGAGGACTACAAGAGGCGTAGATTTTTAAAATAAATTTTTTCAAGGACTACAAGAGGCGTAGATTTTTAAAATAAATTTTTTCGAGGACTACAAGAGGCGTAGATTTTTAAAATAAATTTTTTCGAGGACTACAAGAGGCGTAGATTTTTAAAATAAATTTTTTCGAGGACTACAAGAGGCGTAGATTTTTAAAATAAATTTTTTCGAGGACTACAAGAGGCGTAGATTTTTAAAATAAATTTTTTCGAGGACTACAAGAGGCGTAGATTTTTAAAATAAATTTTTTCGAGGACTACAAGAGGCGTAGATTTTTAAAATAAATTTTTTCGAGGACTACAAGAGGCGTAGATTTTTAAAATAAATTTTTTCGAGGACTACAAGAGGCGTAGATTTTTAAAATAAATTTTTTCAAAAATCTACATGAGACGTAGATTTTTAAAATAAATTTTTTCGAGGACTACAAGAGGCGTAGATTTTTAAAATAAATTTTTTCGAGGACTACAAGAGGCGTAG